GCAATGATTTTCCATTGTGTTTACCTTATGAATTATTAATGAATTTGATAACTGACTTTTGGATTGTTTGTTTAGGTGAAGCGTTCAACTATCTGGATGCGCCAATCTACCGTGTAACAGGAGCTGATATCCCAATGCCTTATGCCACAGAATTAGAAAGAAACAGCACTCCACAAGTACATAATGTTGTTAATACTGTCAAAAAAGTGCTTCATCTAGCATAAACAATCCTTATTTTTATACCCAGRCTTGTGGAGAGATTTTACTTGAAATCCTAAGCAAATTCTCTTCCAATTGGATCACGGCCTTATATGTTTTGTTACCAAGGTAATGCATGCAGTAACCGTGTTTCTAAATTACCAGGACAACTGGAGAACTATCTAGGATATAAGAACATTGTGTTGCCTTGGTAGCATTATTGGTAACCATGGAATCTAGGCTACCTTGGAAACAGAACGTGTTGCTTTTGAGTCCATGTTGACGCGTTTTCTTAGAGTTTTTGTTTGACGACGGAAACAGTACTAAAACAATCCCAAAACGCACCCACAAGGGCGAGGTTATAGCGACCAAATTTTATTCTTAAGACTGGTTTCAACGGAGTTAAAGGGTTTAACCTTGGATTGTTTTATACGGGAATGTCTACGATTATCTAGAAAGCATAATTACTMGAAGAAGTATTGTATAAATCGACACGTAAAAAATGTCAATTTGTGACAAGTGATGGCCTGGCAGCAGCTTGTGTGTGCAATTAAGGTCATCTATTGGAATAATTAAAATAATGTGATATTTTTAACATCATTATCAATGGCATCAATTATGTTTATTTAACTGTAGTTACTTTTTCTTATTTTTTAATTTTTACTCTTGTAATCTTGTGAGCATGAATTAACATATTTAATGTTTATTTTTGGATATATTTTTTTAAAACAGCTTTTTTCACATCAATTGGATAATGTTGCAAGTTTCGATTCTTTGTCAGTAGCAATAGTCTCATTCGTGGCCTACACTTTCGTCGGGCTTCCTGTCCAGGCGCGTAGCGTCCTTTACRCATATACGCACGTGCGTACTAGTGGTAAGGAAACATAAAATTTTTATAAAAATTACTGAAAAATTCACATAAAATTGATTCCTCTTATATGCCCTTGATGTCTCTCAAAACGCTGGAAATCGCATTTCCAAGAGTTATTATTTCAAAATTTCCTTGGGGAGGTCCAGACTCTCTTAATACTCCCGCCTTTGGCTGTCGTTAGACCYCCAGATCCAAAATATGTGTTGTGGTCCCTGATATGTGCGTACTAGGCAAAACGTCCACGCTACGCGCCTGCTGYCCCTCCCAATTGTGATTTTAATTGGCTACTGGYWGTACTGCCCTTTGTCTGTACAGGGAACATCTACAGAGAAGTACGTAAAGAGCCCTCCTAAAGTCCCTCATACGATAGACATAGATTATAGGGTTAATGAAAGAATTAGATTCGCCAAAAGCCACTAAATTGAGATGGACAATAGGAGACACATGCACATCGGTAAACACCCTTAGAACGTACAACAATCCTAGTGGTAACCAGGCTGCTAGTGACGCCACGGTCACTATAAACAGAGTTAGTGCCAGGCCGTTGTCTYTTCGCGATGTTCTATTGACAGTAGCTACAGTTTGTGTCTTGGCTTTGACAAGTATAGATATGTAGCACARCGCAATTATGATCAATATTCCACAAATGGCTATAGTCGCGAAGTATGAATAGAAGACAAAGCCATTGTTAATAACCGTGAAACATAGAGCACAGAAAATACTATTAGTTGCGATGATAATCCACGTTATGATAACAAATGAAGGGATCAGGTACGAACTTGAGCTTCTGTGATACACGGGCCATACAATAGCAACCATTCGCTCTACAGCCACAAGAGCTAGTGAACATATCGTCATATTGATAAAAATAACATGGATTATCGATTGGATTATAATCAGAGGACTTAAACACGTGAAGATACTCCTRTTCACCAGACCGTTTACCCCATGTATACCAAGAACTAGGCATGCGGACATAGCCAACCCCACACCCGACAACATATCCACTACAGCTAGATGAATTACGCAGTAAACCGCGCGTTTACGTAGAGATCTGTTGAGCGTAAACGTCAGAACGGTGAGCAGGTTGCTCGTGAATATGAGTAAAGACGATATGACGTAGGCCATTGCGTAAAAGATGTCTTCTTTGTAATTGGTGTCTGGAGAGGAATCGTTGCAAGCCATTGTAGGAACAGATGTTAGATGTTAAGTAGTTCCCAGAAGAACATTCTGTGTAAAGAAGCGATATATATAACTAAAATGATACCACGTTTATAAAGAAACCCGTTTTACTGCTAAAYTGCTAAGTTTTTCCTCTAGCCCTCCCCATTYCCATGTTGTTATTGAAAATGGTATTGYATTGCATATAAAGAAAAGAAACAAGATTCTTATAATTCGCCGTTTTAGACAAAGTGTAACCCAGGCTCAAAGAGAGTTCACAAATTCACCTGTTTTTCTCRATGTACTGTGTAAATCGAAATGGCATACGTAGCCGATCTATTGCCTATTGAAACGCTAGTTTTTAGTGCTACGAACACAGTTACTGTCGTAGCACTAAAAAGTAGCATTTCAATAGGCAAAAGATCGGCTTTGTTTTCCATTGAATTAAAAAGAAAAACAAAATCAAATTTAAAATTTGAGAGGATTCTGAGTTACGATAAAGAAACCTGTCAGAGCTAAATGGGGAAAACRGCAGGTCAAAAATCACATTGATATCGAGTGAAAAACACGGTATATACTCACCAGAGTTTAGCTCACTTAGTTCGATAAGCTAGCAATGATGAGCTCTAGACAGTCACAATTCACCCAGTGAAGTAAAAATTGACGTAAATATAATGTTCAGTCTAACWACTGACACCATCTTATCTTAAGTTGCACCAGTTCATTTATCATATAAAAATCCTTCCCTTTCGCGCACCCATGTGGTCTTTTCATCTTCCGTTCAAATGTYAATCCTTTGACAGCTACGCATGCGCAGAACTATTCAAACTATAATTATTGATTCAGTCTTGCTAGTAGGCGAAAAGTAAACCCCAGGCACTCGTTCTGAGTATAATTAATTGAAAAACAACGGGTTATTATTACATCCTGTTTAATCATTTTTTTCAAAGTAAAAATAAATGAATAAATAAATCGGCTGATTTAGAACGCACTGATTAATAGATCCGCTAAAAAGGAAAATTACACGATGCTCTTCTGAATCTCAAGCCTTCCGGATTTGAAATGTCATGACTTCTATGCATCAGCGAGGACCAAACATTTCGACSCAAGGAAAGGAAATAACATGATAATTATTAAGTTATCTCTGACTGTGAATCATTTAMTCTTATCATCTGCCTAAAGCGATTTTCGAACTAATGGTTCTGAACGGTTCTAGTGTGTTTTGTGATATTCCTTTCGGTCACAATAATACCCAATACAATATCATTTCTTATGTTCCAGGTGCGTCATAGAACTGAATACTTGACATCATGAAAAAATGAGCCGATACTGATCTAATTTTCTCTTGTTTTGTTTTCCAAAAAACCCGGGCTAGGAACCTAGAATCTTCCAAGTCAACCTGAATATAGACTCTCACTCGTTGGTAATAAGGTAAAGATTTTTTAGGCCTCTCATTGTAAGCAAAAATATGGTATTGCCGAGGATCTAGTTAATTCCAATAGGACTGAAGCAACTCATTCAGATTTGATGTCATGGACGATATTATCACACACCATACATTAATCAAAGTACGGTAACTATTGAAAATCAAGTAGATTTTTAATACCTTTATATTGAGTATCGGATGAATAAAGGACCGGCTTTGAAATTTCAGCATGAAATGCATGGCCACCAGTTCTCAGTCATGTCAAGGCTTCAAATGAAAATTTTATCGGGATTTTAATTATTAGGCAATAATTAGGGTTTTGGTTTTTGTATGTGTTCATGGGAAGTATGTACAGGATTAAATTATACAGAACATGAAAAACAAAAGAGCTGACAATATTAAGCAAATAAATGCTAGATAATGTCATTGCAGTGATCAATATAACTACGCCCATACTAGTAAGACTACGACGTATAAGAATAGTTTTTAGTTTATTATATAGTATAGGAAAGAATATTACAATACATACATCTTCACATGAAGAATGAAAACAAGGTTCTTGAAACAATAGGTGTGTCCACGAAATATGTACATCGTGAAGGATCTTTTAGTCATATGATGTAAAATACAAATCAATTGCAAATTCTTTCAAATTTACGGAAGAAAACCCTGGTAAAAGTACGTTTGAACAATTTATAAGCTTTTCAAGAGTCCATCTGTGGTTTCTTCAATCTTACCAAGGTCTCGTCAATGTCGAAAATCTTTATTAAAAAAGTAGCATATGAATTGCATTGAATTCTGATTGTATTTGTTTAATRAAATCCTCTTTCCAGTATTGAGATTGACAGGTGCGTTATCGTCAAAAACCGCTGATTCGCTGATGAGAAATTTTGTACAATAAAAAATCAACACTTAAAATGTGAGATTTCATTGCATATAGTTGGTCCCTCCGCGATTCCTCAGAGATATGGTCGTGTGCAGCGGACATGGCAYCCTAGCAACATTACAAGGAAAAGTCTCTTATGGTTATATATGTATTCGATAAACTGTCATTTCATATTTTAAAAACCACGATGACATAAACTACTGTTGTACTTTTATTCATTCAAGAATGTGAAGACATTATTTGCATGCGAAAAAACTGATCATGAATCAAACAGTTGTTGAAAATTTGATTTTGGAACTGATTTCGCAAGTAATCTAATCTGAACAATAACAAACACTACAGAAATCATCATYAAAAATACACACGCACTTCTGATTTAATCAAAACAAATGCCAAAGATATATAAAAAAGAAATATTAAGAAAAAAAAGAAATCTACTATATTTGTTAGTGGTTGACGCACGATGGGCGTGGTTGGACAGTGATCATCTTAGTTGCCCGTAACAAAATGTATTTTCTTTTAAGGAAAAAAAAAACCTCATATACGCTGCTGGGACTTGGAAATCAACTGACTTCCATATTTCATAAAGGGAAGAAAGAAAGCAAGATCGAAATTTATTGATGACAATGTTTACACATCAAGCAAAACAGTCAGTTAAAACAAAATCTATAAGCTCTATAATTTCATGGGAAACGTGAAACTGAAAAAACGACTATTATTGACCTTGAGATGCATCCATAACAGTCGTTAACTCTCAAGTATTAACCGAGAAAATGTCGSATGCACGTCATCGCGGTGGCTACAAACGTGAACGAATTGCTGACGATCGACTGATTCGGAAAAAAAATCAAAAGGGACCTCCTTCCTTTCTTCGGTGTCAATATTGTATTTTTCACTTCGGCATCATAACATCCTTCCGTCATTGTGCATGATGCGATGAATTCACTGGAAACGAAGATCAAGTTCTTTTGCAAACGACGCACTGCCTGTCTTCCGTCAGTAAATAAATGCACACAAGGCGTGGGATCTCTCCAACTGATCGAGTCAATATTTTATTTAATTTACTGATTTTTTTAATGTACGCGATATGCAATTAAATCAGTGATGTCTTTTACTTATCTATTGCTCAAAAGGCATGTTGTCAATCTTTACGAGTGCAACAGAGAACGGCTTGTTTTTTGTTTTTTTTTTCTAGTTTTTCTGTGTGTGGCTGTATTTGTACACAGTTTACCACGCAATGCAAACTGATATATTCTATTGTTTGTCTTTATTAGGACTCGCAGGAACTCAAGTTAAAGTGATCAACTTTCCATAAATAAGGAAAAAAAACTGAAACAGAGTTCCGCACATCTTAACGATTTAACCCACAAGTTAACAGAGTGGGGATTAAATCTCATTGGCCTGTTACTCAAAGCTGCACGGAAACTACACATTGCGAGGCAAAAAATGACAAATAGTTCTTCAACGGGTCAACACCAAGGTGTTGCCCTCGTAATGATTTACTTGACTGAGGCTTTCCTCATTTTCATTGCCAACCTTCTCACTATCCTGACATTTACTTTAAACAGCAATTTACGCAAACAAGCAGTGTACTGTGTTATTAATCTTGCCATAGCTGACATGTTGGTTGGACTTGGTATAACATGCAGTCACGTGTCTGGCAGTCAYTGGCGAATATGGCATGCACGAGCTGTTTTATCGTAACATAAGACTTCATAGGAAATCATGGAAGGATTRAGGGTATTAGTGCATGTTGTGTGTCTTGTTGGTACGATGTAGTCTTTGACTTTGTAGCTGTAGAACGAATGAAAATCGATCACGATGATTTGGCCTTTATTGCACTGCAAGTCCATGGCTACATAAGACATTGATATCAATGAATTGGTTGGGTGCGATACTGAGCAGTATAATCAGTAATTCTAGTATTCATAGCACCCAATAGTTATAACATAACTACATTGTTTTATCTCAAGTGGCATTTCATTATTGYTTTACAATTATTACACTCTATCGATCTTTATCAAAGTAAAGAACCAAAAACTAATTTCTGATGAGAACAGATCGTCAAGACGAGAAAAAAGCCTGGCACTAACTTTGTTTATAATGACCGTGGTATCATYGGTAGCCTGGATTCCATTGGCTGTATTGTATATTATTAGATTGACGACTGATGTTCAATACTCGGCTGTTTTTTTCTCCGTTTTGTTATCGATTAGTTTGTCGAATTCTCTGATCAACCCTTTGGTGTACACATATCGCATGAATGAGTTTAGAAAAGCTCTTTATAAACTGCTGTCCAGATGTTCACTAAATAATGCTAATTAAGTATCCTTTGCATTCCGTTAAGATAAGAGTTTGGGATCCCTGGGGCTTATCAGGCAGCTCAGCCATAAAGCTACGCATAACTGAAAATTTCTACATTTGAGTTTTATTGTTTTAATTTTTTTTACTGTTCAACCTTTAAAAAATCTGACTAACGCCATTTTCTTTTTATTACGAGCTGAKGATAGGGTAGCAAAGGGTATCTTCACAGCTGACTCGAACCAATTTGATACACAGGCAACCCAACTAATCCTGATTAGAAATACTCTACAATACTTGTAAATATGATATTTCTGAATGAAAACTAGATCATTAATCACATGAAGAAGATTGATGTGTGGATTTTACTCTAAAAAAGTCATAAAGCGGAAGAAATTATTATTTTTTAAATGACTGATGGCGATGAGGTCGGTGACTGAAGAGAAAGTTTTTCTCTACGTCGACATKCCTGTCCTTTCCTCTTTCTGATGTTATTAAACTGTTTCTCTCAATTTCCTTTCTCGAAATAATTTTGTTATTTAGGTAGGAGGACATAATCATAGCGGCCCTTTTACAAACAATAGGATGCCCCTAAGTTGTATTTTTTTTTTAGTTTTCTTTCCGTTTCAAAAAACTATGGGGCTCTCGCGCAAATGGGTTTTGGACAAGAAAATTAATCAGAGTCAAGAAATTCATTGACTTCAGATAGAAGATAAGAATACGTTTGTGCTTTTAAAGAAAGCGACTAACAATTGAAAAMCAAGGTGGTTAAATCGATAGCAGCTTGTTTTTTAATGCTTTTCAAGTCCGATTGTCGATTTTTTTTTACGATTAGGATCCACTAGTTGTTGAGACGATGCATCAACATAAAAAACGAGCTATAAAATATTGAGCCCAATGATTTGTTTTTTGAGTAAAAACACTTGAGTGCGTTCATCAGTGATACATCGTGAGTAATATCATAAAATAACGCWTGACGTCAGCACTGGGAACAGCTGCGCTYGKCCAGTACAACGCGCAGTCCGGTACGACAAGCCTAGAACACCRTATCGAGATTGCAACATCTACACAGGTACATATTATAGTTGAACTTATCCTTCTTAGATTGCGACTACTAGAAACAACAGTTTATATTATTGAATGGCGTTATGTAACATGCATGTGAATCAGTTATCGTGACGAATCTTGAAATCAATGAAGCCTCGAGGCTGTTCCTTTTAAAATGAAATCTAGAAATCTGCGTTTTCTAGAATATGGGTCATCTGGATTGAAATCMAACTTTGATGTATGATTACTTTGTCAATGCTATATCTTTTGAAACAGTGTGCGAAATCATTGACTATAGTTCCCTTATGTTTGTTTTGTTCACAAGAAATGGAGAAAACAAGTGTATTGGCTTTTAGACTGGAAAAAAAAACAGTCAAGCTTTATTGATTTGTCTGAGAGGTTTAAAGTTCACAGCACGATATCTTCACTTATCTTTGGACACTGCGAAATGTGAATTGATGTGAAATGAAAATAAAGATGTCAAAGGCATCTATGACAATCGCTTTTCAGTACAAGAAAAAACTATTGATGGTTATATACTACCGACGTGAAACCGTGTGGTTCTACGTATGACTGGATATTGCAATATGACAAATTACAACTGGTCGTATCAGTGGGGCTAGATATCAAAGAAAAGATAAAATCAAATTTAAATTATTATCATGCTCTTGATATTAATTAGTTTCCGAGCTAGAAACTCCATAAACATTACTACAATCTTTTCGGGTAAAACTTTACTCTAGATTGTACTCAAACGGTTTAACATTGTATGCTAGACATTTGCATAAATAAAAGCGCAAAGTTGAACAACTTTCAGATTGAAGAGGTTTTTAAGAGTATTTCAAATGAAAGCGTTATTAAAATGATAAATGACAAGGCTTTTCTGCTGACAACCAGTTTACAGCTGATTACAAACTTGAAACAGTTCACATGAAAAGGCCTAAACAATATATTTTGTTAGCAAAATGGCTTCATTTCACATAAAAAAGTGCATAGAGCGCGAGATAGGTAGGGTCTATCCCATGTATCTAACGCTGSAACTGCTCATAGAAGGTTTGAGTTTCCACTATGACGTATCGTAAATTAAAATATTGTTTCATTATTCCTGTAGTTGCAAGTTATATTACGTACAAAATCATTACCTGTATATAATCATTTCCCGGACTATTTATACTGATTGGAATTTCTTATAACGTCTCTGTGCAATCGTAAATAAAATATTTATTTCTTCCGCAGAAACTAGTGTTTTACACCACAAGCGCTTCTAATATAATAGAAGAAGGAAGTTCAAACCATAACAGTCATTTCTTACCGGCCATTCATAATCATTGCCGGATATATGCCYTGAGGCGTCRCTGAACTATTACAGTCGGTTAATTATCTTGTKTCTTGCCAACGCCCTGGACCAGCTTTTCAACGGAGCGCGACAGAAGGGACTGGAACTGGACAACATTTGTTTATTACTTTATATAGTAAAAAAAGCGAATTTACTTGCATGGAATATGTAAGTATTGTTCCCAACAATGCTGACAGCTTTCTAAGTACGTACTTCTTTTTCTCTAGTCCTTTGCTTTCTACATGTTCTTTTTTCGTGACATTCATTGCCATCAAGGGCTCCAGCTGCAAATTCAGGAGGAAAAAAAAAAACAAAGTATGACGTCTTCGGTTAGAGTCGACTCGAATAAAAACACAACAGTCTTAAAATGGGTTTTGTCTACCATACAAACTGATATCTATAGAAGAGTCCATTGATTCATTTCAAATTGTTCCAATTCAAGTTTGCTTTCATCGTACGTGCTCAAAATCACAACCAACATCTTAATAATTAGCTGTCATTTAATCTGTTTCCTTTAGATTTCCTTTACATTTCTCCACCAAGCTGTCCGTGGGATGTCTTAGTCTTCAGTGAACGCACGGAAACTCAAAAATGCCAGCAAACTCCTCATATGACAAGTTTGGGGGGCAGCCAAAGACGTCCGAGATTATCTGGGCAACACTTTATTTTGTTGGTTCGATTACAGTATTTGTAGCTAATGTTTTGACTGTCATCACATTTCTGGTAAATCGCCATTTATTAAAGAGAAGTATGTACTGTCTTGTCAATCTTGCCGTGGCAGACATGGTAGTAGGTCTGGGTACTTTAATCTCCAATACTGTAGTCTTAGTTCTCTTCGGAATCAAAGCCTTGGTTGACAAGAATTTTTTATACCACAGAAGCACAGCAGTAGTAATCCAAACGTCAGTTTATAATTTCACTATGGGCGCTACTATGCTTTCGCTAATCATTGTAGCATTCGAGCGAATGTTGGCAACTCTTTGGCCGTTGCGTCACCGCACGCTGAAATCGTCTGTTTACATGTGGTTTGTTCTGTCACCATGGATATGCGCCCTTACGATTGCCATGAGTTCATCGTTGAATAATCCACAAAACAAGAGAAATTATTTAGGAAGTCCATGGATAATTTTAAAAACGCTTATCTTGTGCACAACTTACATTACAATATACATTAAATTCAAGTCTCGTAAAACGCAGCCGCAGTTTAATGCCCAGCGGTTACCTCGACAGGAGAAAAGACTGGTGGCTACTGTCCTATTGGTGACCATAGCTTCAATCTGTACCTGGACACCAATGGGGTTGGTACTTTTAATCCGTGATATTGATATGTTTCCAGTCCCTTACCAAGCACACTTCGGCGCAGTTTCTCTTCTGATGATGAATTCACTAGTTAACCCTGTAATCTATGTATTTAGGATGAAAGGTTTCAGGATAGCTCTTCACGAGTTGGTATGTCGATGTTTTCCAGAAAGYCGACCACACGAAGTAAACCGTGTTGAAATGTCTGTTTTTGGACCAAGTAGGTACAATATTACTATTAGTGATCAAATAAAAAGTATATATATGCCAACCATTCACTAAATGGCACCTTGGACAGCTGTGCAAAATACCAGGAAGTCCAYTCRGCTAAATAGATAATTACAATCACCCAGATTACCCCGGTATTCATTTATACAACATGGTGAAGCGAAGGATAAAATAATCCAAACACGCAACGTGGAAGCCTGGAATTGAAATCATTTGAGCTACATCCGGACTGCAAAGGTCTGCTGAGCTCCTATCCAAAAATAACTAGATTTAAACCTTTGTAGCCCACACCCGTATGTTGTAGATTATTTAYATATACAATGTAGTCCTTTACGTGTAAGTCAAGTTCCTTGAAGACACACTTTTATAAGTGCAATTATCGAGAATACAAATCCAAATCCACCGCTTAGTATTCCAATACAGACAATTAACATGTTGAGGACGTATTTAGCAGGACTTATTGTAGTTAAGTTCAGCATAACATCGAACAGAGGTGGGAAAACAAGAGCAAGRCAMACCCCGGATAARCTCCCAATGATAGCCATTAAAAGTGAAAACTCGGGAATTAAGACACCAATAGCGGTTACTGTTCCCACRAATATCACCCTTAGGGCGTATATACGAGTCTTCTCGTAGTTATCTAATTCGCCGTTGGYCTCGTCAGGAAAACAACGTGGAAAACACGATAGATTAAGTTTATGGAAGACATTGAAGAGAGTAAAAGCTGGAAGTGCAAACGAAAAAAGTCCATTCAAACCAAGCAAGGCGTTGGTTGTGTTTTCCAGAATACCATGAGGAAGATTTTCAGATATCTGTTGCTTTGTTTCCGTCTTGAAAGTTAAAACWGCTATAAAACCATACAGGATTTTAGTGATGGCAGATATTAAGAAAGTGTAGTTCATCACCGAATCAAAACTTTCAGGAGATGACATCGTTTCTTCAATTCCTGGAAGGTAGGGGTGGCAAACAAAGCTGAATAAAATGATCCCCCATGCTACTGGAAATCCTCCCAAAGTGATCAGCGGCATATGCGAATCCCAATCATGCCTCTGGGTTACTCCATAGCCCACTACAGTTGCGAAAACTACAGCAAGTGAAAAAACACTGAACATACTAAGAAAAGAAATACGGCTTGGACGAGTAATAAACACGGTAGGAAGGACTAGTAACCCAGACAGAAGCATCCAMGCTGTGAGGGAAACTGGACGCTTTTCAAAAACGTCGTTAAAGAAATCTGCTACTAACATCAGGTACAGAACACACGCGCATGTCAACTGCATCATTTGAGCACTGCTGACCAGCACAGCACCATTGTGGCTCCAGCAAGATTGTCCTGCGAGGAGCAAACAATACAGTAAATACATGGAAAACATATATCAACTCAAAAATATACGTCAAATAGAGTCTAGTGATGTTTTTTAGTTTACCTAACTCGGCGTAGCTCCTGCGAAGTCTTCGTCCTCGTCTCCCGTCATGCTCCACGGGCTTCTCGTACAGRCATTCAATGATCAGCTTTCCCGTGTAGTTTGTAATCAGGGCAATAATTACTATGGCAACCAGTGACATATAYCCACCCTGACTTACCGCATATGGTATACCTAATGTTCCAGTTCCTAGAAATGAAAACAAATCGATATTACTTCGGAGAATATCACAGCACGCGTAGCTTTCAGAAAAAGAAAACGACAGCAATCGGAATCTATTCGGAAAAAAATTTTCATTCAGAAATCATTTGGTTATCAAAATCTTTCCTGTGGTAATAATCAGTTACTGTGAGTTTGTAGCGACCAAGAAAAATAATTCCATCTTGGGTATGAAGATAGTCTTAGCAGCTTAGTACAATCATAGTAAATTCCAACAAAATCTTTGGTTGACGGACGAAGAAAAGACTAATAATTCCAGATGGTCGACTGCCGGTCGAGAAACGCACAATCAAATGATAATTAAACCGATAGCAAATCCCGCAAAAACAGTTTCACACTATTAATAAAGCATTACTTATCTACACATACTAAATGATTAAATATCATAGAAAATTGAAAGACATTCCGCACAAAAATCAATGATCGATTTTTACTTTGCACGCACACATGACTACTTGTATTTACTTTTGCKTTTCAATTGCTTGTCTTTGTAGTTTTTATAATAGTTAAGGGTCATTGAACTCCATTACTTAAACAGGTTGCAGTTAGTAAGTCAAGAACAATACAAAACCCCTTTGAAAAATAAAACCCGTTAATTAGAGCAAAAACTGACAAAGAGAGAAATGTTTTCTTTTCTCGGCACTTAAAACGCTAGAGCTAACTATGGATCATAAAAGAGCTTGCTGATTCACCTTGAATAAGGTTCCCTATATTCCAAGATGCTTGCAGACTTGATGTTTTGTGTTTTGACTTGATGRCATCGTCTTTTTCGTCGTCTCCAGTGGATTCCTCCTCGTCTAGCATGTAGCCCTTCCCGCCAAWCTCGTAATCTTCATCATTGAGTTCTTCCTGTTCTTCTTTTGGTACATTGATGTATTCGTCTTTTCTTCCGTCATAGCTTGAATCAAATGCGGGTGTAGACTTGCTACCAAGCTTTTTCACAATGTYATTGATTTTATCCATTTTCTTCCYTTTATAATTTTTGATTTATCACAAAAACAGACGAAAATGAAATAGGAAAATCGCCRATTGYRCCCTGTGTTTTTAAGTCACCCATTTTGTCTCCASCAAAAGGTTTTTAGTTGGACCAACATGAAAATCACAGATAAATAGGCTTCGAAAACAATTGATTAATAATAAATATACGGTTTATCAAAATAGATGATGGACCCTGGTTTTGTAAAGAGCCATGGACAAAACTACCAGAATTACATGCACTAAGTTCAGAAAACTAACAGGGGCAAACTTAAAATAATACCAAAATGAAATAATAGCCTAAAACGCAGAAAAATCCCGAAAAATATGCAAAGATTAAAATCAGAAATAAATAATACATTTAATGGAGAAAGATTAACAAAATGCGCGCATTAAGAAGATTAATAATAAAAAGCGAAAACCCTGGATAAGTGAATGAAAGAATGCAAATTTCTATYAAATATATTATTTAATCAATGACTATTAGAAATTATTAGCTTTTTAAATTCCTAATAACAATTTCTTCTTTTAGATAATGTCTTTTTCGTTTTTAAGAAGTATAACATTTTTGCAGTACTGAGCTGTATGCAAAGCAGATGGTAATAGCTAAAAAATCACAGTTACCAGCCTGACAAGAAAATATTTGAAAGTTCTATACAAATGATACCAGAAACCCAAGTATCTGACACAAAAACATACTATGTACAAACATTGAGAAATCAGTAATTGAGCTTTTTTTTATTTATTTTTTAATTAATAATATTTTTAAATTGAGCTATTTCTCATAATGAATAAGAAACGAAAAACCCACTAATCCATGTGACTATGTGCAAAATGATAACAACTCAAAACAGGAAAAACAGCAACAGAGAGAGCTAAACACATTAAGAAGTAATTCAAATACCCAAATACTTCCACYAAATTTCCACCAACAGATGTCATAGTTAGCTTACCCARTACCTCAAAAGTTGCTAAAATTGAAAAGTGAGTAGCCTGGACACCAGTTGGCACACTCTTAGAAATCTGCATCATCAGTGTGAATGTTACTGTAGTTATAATTCCAGCAAAGAGTTGCAAAATGCACTCAGAAACTAGTATAATRGCTACCATGGGAACAGTAGTGGAGATATTGAGACAGTGTGTTGCCATAGGGATTAATCGTCCAATAGAAAGCCATTTTAACAAGTGTATGAGATCATTTCTGCAAAACAAATAAAATTCAAGGTAGACTATTAGGTGAACTGTTTACTAAAGTTTTTTTAAGTTAAAAATATGTCTCTTATTTGTAGACACTAGTACTAACTATAAAGCACATACCGTTGTTCACAATACAGACTTGCCATCCATCCACCAATAATAGACCCAATTATTGAGAAAACATGTGTGATTACTCCTGCTATTAAACCAACATTACTCACAGAGAAACCACTGTCTAGCATGTACAAAGGTATCATGCTAGTCATTCCTTGTTCACCAAGTTTGTAAATAAATACAAAACATACTATCCAACCAAAGTCTTGACTATTCTTGACAGACATGAAGACACCATTATAATCATTTGGAGAGTTCTTTTTAAGCAAGTCCTTTTTAATAATATCAGAATGTTGTATGTATTTCCAGTGCTTAGTATAAGCATAGACAGTGCAAATGATGTAAAAGATTGATAAAACAAGAAAAACAGTATCCCAGCTAGTATATCCAGACAGCCATACAAGGAAACCACCCCCTATCAAAGCTCCAGTCTTGTAGCCAACAACTTGTGCAATGTTTCCTTTACCTAAAGGTTTAGAAACAATTGGTTGTATCAAGTGACTTTCATTTTATTCAACAAGCTGATCATCAGGGATTGTAAGGGATCAGGGATTGTAATAATATAATAATAATAATAATAATATGTGGTATTTATATAGCGCCAATATCCTCTGAGTTCAAAGGCGCTTCACATGTATAGAGCATTTTACACGGACCACTGTTTAAGGCGCAATTGGCAGCCACGYGGCTTACAATCATGAGGGGTTAGTAATTAGTATGGGTTAGTAGTAAGGGATCATGCATTCTCACTTCAACATTTTTTCAATCATTAGATTTGATTCCCTTATACATGCAACAGCATGGTTGTGTTGTTTTTTGTTTTTTTTTTCATATAAGGAAAACTCATACGTGACTCAAATATCCAATCGCAACTCACTTCCATCAATCTTTATAATATCATTCATAGAGCAGGTTAAAGGGATAATAACAACTACATTTTTGCTTAATTATAGTGTATTTCAAGCATAGATAAAAACTCATAAATAAGGGATGCCCATTGCCCCGTGACCCTTTAACACAACAGACTCATGCCCCATAATTAAGGTATGTCATCCAAGCTACAATACCCCTTACCTCCACCTTACCTAAATCAGATGAATCGAGAATTCTGAGTGCTAGTGTATCTACAGCGATATCTTGACTAGCCGCCATTACATTCAAACCAAACACGCCACAAAGCAGCACAAACGTTATATTTGTTCCCAATAAACCAGGCAAACCACAACAAAGCGCCATGCCGCTGAATGACAGGGCAAGCCACAACCAAATTGTTGAAAATCGATTCAAGAAGTTGGCTATGAACACTTTGAAAAGCCAYGGCAAACTAAGAATRCGAGAAAATCCCACCTTTGTCAACGAAACTGCATTAGATCGTAGTAATATTGGAATGAGCTTCGTTTGAATGCCGTACGGAAGTCCTTGAGCAAAGTACAGAAAGAAAAGTAGTATAAACTTCGATCCGAGAGTTGCCATTTTGCTCTTTTCTTAGTTGGTATCCCTGTGGTAAAAATTCAAACTACAACTCGAGGATAGGGATCTCCAAATTAAAAAAAACCCTACAATCTTCCATACTAACTGATATTTATATTAAGACAGAATACTTTTCTATTTCAAATGCTGCAGAAAGGATTACGTAATTTTTCACTAAAAAATGCGCGCCAAAAATCACGTCGTTCACACCATATATGGCTAAGCTTGGTTCCATATAAGGTCAAGGATGTGAGGTCGCGCGCGCGATGCTACAGCCATGTTTGTTGAGTTCTTGGAGTTAGTTCTTGCGGAGTTTCTACAAGAGAAATGGACTATAAAATGCTTGCCTTACGATCGAAGGGCTCGTGAAGTGAGGAAATGCACGACTGAATCAAGAAAAGTAACGCGGTAATGGGTAATTTAGCGCAGAGGATGATGAAAATCGCTTAAAAGGACCAAGAAGACTACTCAAGGTTTGAGACTTTCATTTTTATTTGATAAGCTATTTATATAATCTTAGTTAAATTTTAATAAGCTTAATGCATATGATAACTGCTTTCTTTGAAGGGGGCAGTGAAATTTGATTGAATTTTAAWTTTTTWAAAATATTTTATTAAAATAAGATGGAGTRTGCCCCCTTCAACTCCAATCTCGGTTCCAGAGCTTCTCTGCTCGCTTTGTTGGAACGAGGYTGCTTCACYTCCCCCTCCCATCCCCTCCTCTACTACCCTTGTAAGTAAACAAATTGACTTGTTAGAATTTCTGTTCTATGTTCATACGGTCTAGCTATCTTACATCTCTTTTGGTCATGTGCCACAGTGACTATTTTTAATTTAGTGTAGCATCTATAAATAAGTCTCTGACTGATTGGCTGTGTAATTGTTTGTGAAGATTTGGATATTGTAATTGTGATGTGGTATTAACYCCTTCGCTGCCAATGCACTTTGTACACAGTGTGMCTCACAAAAATATGTCAAATTTAGTGATCTTCGGAAATATTTTTTTTTAGCTACAGTCATACTCTCTAACATAAACAATGTATATATTTCTGTGAAGCTAAGAAATCTGTCTTTCTAATGAACATGGAATGAAGTGTGTTTTTGTAATTCTATATTATTATGACGTCATAATCGTGGGAAAATTGTGATTTTACAGGGTCACATTTAGAAAAAAAACTTATTTCCTCTCCAGAATCATTCCATAACTGATCCAATGCTTATTGAGCAGTAAAGTGAGCCATTATTTACTAAATCGTTTGAAATTACTAAGTTTTAGCTCGTAAAAAAGTCATATTTCCACCTAACAAAATCGAAGATGACAAGATGGCGGCCATCTTGGAATGAAAATGCATTTAATTTATTCATACACGCTCCAAAGGCTCACGCACGTAATTCACATACTAGTGTCCAGTCTCTCAAGAAACACAGTTGATTTCGATATGCCGGAATCAAGTGCCAACGATGTGCCGAAGATTTAACTAAAACACTGCAAATTTGGATGTACTGAGTACGGCATAATTATAGGCACATTGTATACAGTTTTTTATGACGTACTCAGTACGTCGTATACRGCACTTAAGGGGTTAATCTCTATCTATGAAATTGATTTTGATATTCTTCTCTTYTGGTCGGAGCATTAAAATGGTTACTTTCTCTAAAGGCTTGTGATTGTATTCCAACTTGAATCTCTGAACAACCTTTCAAAATTGCAGAGTAATTTTCGGTTAGTTTTTAGTTGCATACCATTGAAACTATTTCACTTAAACAGGGCTGAAGAGAGAACATTGATGTGCAGTTATGTTATTCTCTTGGAATGAGAACCAATGCCTTCATCTGTTTGCTTTTATGAGTTCTTGTTATGAGTGTACCCTGTCTTCTAACACACATTCAAGGAAAATACGTGTAAGGATTCAAAGTTATGTGTAGATGAGGYCTTTCAGACTGCTGGGAACTGTTCAGACTATCAACATTATCAATAAGATTATCAATAAAATTTTTATTCTGATTGAAGTACCTTTGACAAGAATAGCATCACTTCCAGTTCAGCAGTTCGTTTCCCTGATCAAGAAATATGTGAACATTGGATATGCAATACAGAATCAAATAATTTTGGTTTTCATTACCAATATTATCAATACACTAAATTACCCATACACATCCGGGGACCAAATCCAAATGGTAGAGAAGAAAATGGATGGATCTCCTCGCCACTATCTCTCAGCCAGCGTTCTGGTTTGAATGTTTCAGCATCTTTGAAATAAGTCTCTGACCGCGCAGCTGTGTAGCTGTTTTGCAAGATTGGAGTCTTAGCAAAGAGAGAAGGAAAATTCACATGAGACTCACTTCAGATTTATGATCAGCTATGTTCTTTTTTATGCTTACCCCTGCTTTAACATTATAGCCACATAAAACAATGTCTTGGTCGAGAACTCTTGTAACACCTATTGCAATACCATCCAATCTAAGATAAGCAAATTAAAAAGTAAGGGCTGCTTTTCATTGATTTTTTTTTAACCATAAAGACAAGGTAAGTGTTTTTGAATCATGACAAGAAACATCGTTTGACRACCATTTGCCTGTTATTGGGAGTTATTGGGATGCTATTTCTTATTGGTGACAATTCAATATCCAAATGATCCAGCAACGATCTTTGGTGCTGATAGTTTACCTCAACACTTCTTTGATATATGCCTTCATGTAGGGGATCTTCCCCATGTCCTGAGAAGTTAGCTCACCATCTTTACCAGTTACTGTTTCAATTTCATGACGAAGGCGTTCCTGGACATCTTGATTTGTGGCTAATCTATACAGTGCGCCCATCAACATAATAGATGTCTATAAAGTAAGAACAAAAATAAGATACCCAGGTGACCAGTACTTTTTGTGACCGCAAGTACATATCATTATTATGTATGAGTCGTACCGTATCAACTCCGCCTAGAAACATATCCACGCAATTGTCCGCAATTTCATCTACCGAAAGCTCTCCTTTAGCCAACAGAAAACTTAGCAAAGGTACCCCTGTGTGTCAGAGCACAATCATAAAGACTATAATGGTGACTTTTTAAGACAGAACTAGATCAAAACTTGACTTAATTGCCAAACCGAGTTCACCTTACCTTCCCCATGAGTCAATTTTTCTGGATTCTTTAAATCTTCCCTCAATTCATCCAATTTTACCTTCACGTACTTCTTCGCGAAATCTCTGGAAAATTTTATACTTTTGCGTAACTTTTTCAGCGAAGGTGTATCAAACTTTTTGTAAAACATGCTTTCAGGGCCAAAGCCAAGTTTGTACGTGGTAGTAAATGTGTCTTTAATAGCTTGTATACTCTCTAATGCTCCTTCCCTAGGTGGATCTTCGTAAAGCCCTATCTTTGTATCAAACACTAGTACGCCAACAGCTGAAATAAAATAACAAACCTAACAATGTGCCATTTAAATCTGGAAAATGCCATCACAAAGTGGAAATTGAACTTGTTTACTTAAGGCTTAGA